AAAAAAAAAAAAAAAAAAAAAAAAAAAAAAAAAAAAAAAAAAAAAAAATAGATCCACACCCTTCTACGATAGAACTAAACACTATCACTTTCTTTTCTTCTTTTTATTCTTCGTCTCCTATATCCGTAAACATAAGAATTCCAGATATGTTCGTTCTCAAGTAATCAAAATTCACGAATTATCGTTGTTATCGAAACTCATTTTCAATCATGCAAATTCATTAATGAAACACGTTCTTCTATTAATTTACACCTCGAACGTCACACGATTAGAAATTCATAATTAATCTTTTTACTTTCTTTTCTTTTTGGCGCATGTGTCGTAAAAAAAGAAGTAGCGTAATTTAATGAAAAAAAATAAATATACACTATATAGAGTGAATATAAATAATAAAAATAACAACAATAATATATTGTTATCTTAATTATATTTCAATTGTATCATTGACTAAAGAATACGTTGACAAAATTCGACTTCTAAATTCTGGAACAGCCTGTGAAAAAATACATTTCGAAGTGAATTCGAAAGAAAAAGGTACACATTGAACCTTTAAAAAAAAAAAAAAAAATGAACGAGGTATATCGTCGTGGAATACAAATTCTTTTTCGTAATTATCGGTTACATTGCAACAAGTTGGATAAATTTACGCTTTTTTTAGCTCACCAGCTGGCGAGTTAATTGCCGCTACTGTTCTCCGCGACTTTTACTATGCACACACGCACACAGGCTTATCAGGCCCCCCGTCTAATGCACTTATCGTCCACGTACACGCGTACGTACACGCGTGCGTCAAGCAACATCTATCGTCCACGTTTCAATGCCTGTTAATAGTTTCGAAATTTGATTGTTGCCGGTATATAATGGATCTATCAGGACCCTTCCGATATCCTGGGCCAATTGAACGCTATTTCACAAAATCAGCACAATTATTCCCATCGTATAGATCGTATAAATACACGTATTTGGATTGTATGCCAGATTTCTGATGAAAATAAAGTTCAGAATATTACAGTTAGCCATTCCATTATAAACGTATGCAAAAATAACAACGGTGATATTTTATCTTATTTCCTTGAGATGGTAAAGTGGGAAATGCTTTTAGAAATGATTATTATTTCATAAGGATTTTCGGAGCAAAAAATGAATAGCAGAGTGTTTTAAAGAATGATAATCCAAAGGATTTTGTTACTCTGATATATACAAATTTGTATTTGATTTCAGAATTTCGTTCTGGGATCAATGTATATCAATCTTAAATCCAAGGTTGTTTAATTCTAAATTTCTTCAGAGTGTTTAATTAGATTTCTCTAACTCTGAGGATAGTTTTATTCTCTTAATATTTCTTTTTCCTTTAAACTTCAATTCCGAGATATATATTTCTTTTAAAATACAAACTGCATTAATGTATATACATATACTTTGCACGTTAAAGGATATTACTTATTATACTATACATTTTATTATAATGTTACTAATATTACTTACTAAGCTATTCTATTTATTTTATTATTGATATTACTTATTCTTAGTAGTAATATTACTTTTTAACATACTTTATAATGCACTGTACAAGTAATATAGTAATACAGTAGATACATTTATTTTTTGTACATTATTGATATACTATTATCATAATAATTCTTTTCTTGTTCAAATAATCTTTAAAATTATATATATATATATATATATATATATATATATATATATATAT